TTATAAATCGATCAATGTTCAACCGGACAGCAACATCTAAATGTTTGGAGAAAAAAATGAAGACCTTACATTTGTAATTAAAAAGGATGAAAAATAACCCAAAAAAATATTTAAAAAATCAGTACATCAGACGAATCTTACCTCGCTGACAGTTCTGTCCAGTCCATCCAGTTGAGCAGGTACATTTGTATCCGCCATCTTTGTTCACACAGCGTCCATGTTGACAGGGATTTTTGGTACACTCATCTATGTCTGTGTGATAAAAAAAAATGTACCTATTATAAATCGATTGATGTTAAACCGGACAGCAACATCTAAATGTTTGGAGAAAAAATGAAGACCTTACATTTGTATTAAAAAAAGGATGAAAAATAAAAAAAATCACTACATCAGACGAATCTTACCTCGCTGACAGTTCTGTCCAGTCCATCCAGGTGAGCAGGTACATTTGTATCCGCCATCTTTGTTCTCACAGCGTCCTTGTTGACAGTGATTTTTGGTACACTCATCTATGTCTGTGTGATAAATAAGAGAAAATGTACCTATTATAAATCGATGAATGTTAAACCGGACAACAACACCTAAATGATTGGAGAATAAATGAAGACTTTGTAATGAAAAAAGGATGAAAAATAAAAGAAAATCACTTCATCAGACGAATCTTACCTCGCTGACAGTTCTGTCCAGTCCATCCAGGTGAGCAGGTACATTTGTATCCGCCATCTTGGTTCACACAGCGTCCATGTTGACAGGGATTTTTGGTACACTCATCTATGTCTGTGTGATGAAAAAGAGAAAATGTACCTATTATAAATCAATTAATGTTTAACCGGTCAGCAACACCTATATATTGGGAGGGAAAATAAAGACCTTACATTTGTAATGAAAAAAGGTTGAGAAATAAACAAAATTAAAAATCACTATATATACATCAAACGAATCTTACCTCGCTGACAGTTCTGTCCAGTCCATCCAGGTGAGCAGGTACATTTGTATCCGCCATATTTGTTCACACAGCGTCCATGTTGACAGGGATTTTTGATACACTCATCTATGTCTGTGTGATAAAGAAAAGAAAATGTACCTATTATAAATCGATCAATGTTCAACCAGAAAGCAACATCTAAATGTTTGGAGAAAAAAATGAAGACCTTATATTTGTAATTAAAAAGGATGAAAAATAACAAAAAAATAAATGAATATTTTATAATGAAAAAGGATGAAAACATCAGACGAAACTTACCTCGCTGACAGTTCTGTCTAGTCCATCCAGGTGAGCAGGTACATTTGTATCCTCCATCTTTGTTCACACAGCGTCCATGTTGACAGGGATTTTTGGTACACTCATCTATGTCTGTGTGATAAATAAGAGAAAATGCACCTATAATAACCTATTATAATCGATGAATGTTAAACCGGACAACAACACCTAAATGATTGGAGAAAAAATTAAGACTTTGTAATGAAAAAAGGATGAAAAATGAAACAAAATCACTTCATCAGACGAATCTTACCTCGCTGACAGTTCTGTCCAGTCCATCCAGGTGAGCAGGTACATTTGTATCCGCCATCTTTGTTTACACAGCGTCCTTGTTGACAGAGATTTTTGGTACACTCATCTATGTCTGTGTGATAAAAAAAATGTACCTATTATAAATCGATGAATGTTCAACCGGACAGCAACACTTAAATGATTGGAGAAAAAATGAAGACTTTGTAATGAAAAAAGGATGAAAAATAAAAAAATAAAATAATCACAACATCAGACGAATCTTACCTCGCTGACAGTTCTGTCCAGTCCATCCAGGTGAGCAGGTACATTTGTAGCCGCCATCTTTGTTCACACAGCGTCCATGTTGACAGGGATTTTTGGTACACTCATCTATGTCTGTGCGATTAAAAAAAGAAAATGTACCTATTATAAATCGATTAATGTAACCGGACAGAAACATCTAAATGTTTGGAGAAAAAATAAAGATCTTACTTTTGTAATAAAAAAGGATGAAAAATAACAAAAATGAAAAAGCACAACATCAGACGAATCTTACCTCGCTGACAGTTCTGTCCAGTCCATCCAGATGAGCAGGTACATTTGTATCCGCCATCTTTGTTCACACAGCGTCCATGTTGACAGGGATTTTTGGTACACTCATCTATGTCTGTGTTATAAAGAAAAGAAAATGTACCTATTATAAATCGATTGATGTTCAACCGGACAGCAACATCTAAATGTTTGGAGAAAAAAATGAAGACCTTACATTTGTAATGAAAAAAGGATGAAAAATAAAAAAAGAAATAAAAAAATCACTACATCAGACGAATCTTACCTCGCTGACAGTTCTGTCCAGTCCATCCAGGTGAGCAGGTACAGTTGTATCCTCCATCTTTGTTCACACAGCGTCCATGTTGACAGGGATTTTTGGTACACTCATCTATGTCTGTGTGATAAAGAAAAGAAAATGTACCTATTATATGTTCAACACCTAAATGATTGGAGAAAAAATGAAGACCTTACATTTGTAATGAAAAAAGGATTTAAAGTCAAGAAAATAAAAAATCACTACATCAGACAAATCTCACCTCGCTGACAGTTCTTTCCAGTCCATCCATTTGAGCAGGTACATTTGTATCCGCCATCTCTGTTCACACAGCGTCCATGTTCACAAGGTTTCCCGACACACTCATTTATGTCTGTGTGGCAACGGAGAGAACAATATTACAGCTATTCCGATGATATACATACATTTATAACACCAAATACTTATTAAAGAACACGAAGAATATTTTACAATAATAAGAAGTAATCGTTATTTAAAAAGGGCGGCTTTTAACTAAAGCAAACTGACTACATCAAAAGAAACTCACCTTGCTGACAGTTCTGTCCAGTCCATCCAGGTGAGCAGGTACATTTGTATGAGTGAAAACGTGATACTAAAGAGGTCTTTAATTTGAGCTGTACAAGCGAATAGCAATGAGGTCTATTTGCCTGCTGTGCAATTTATAGAAATGAGGGATTAGGGCTGTACATAAAACGTACCTTCTAGGAATACTATGTGCAATGAAAGTTTGAATATTCCTTACTTACCGACAGTGGTTGACAGAGGTGCGAGTGTTGTTAGTACGACCTCGGTGGTTTCACGTCCGGCACTCGTCACTGATCCTGTGGACAGCGAGGAAAGGGAGGTTGGGTGCCCGACGGTCGAGCTGGTCTCTTTGTAGAAAGGAGTCCACAACGAAGCAGTTGAATTCTGTTGTATCACCCATAACTCTGCGCGATCTAGGTTCTCCTAGAATCCGGTGCACAATTTTTAAAAAGATACATGAAGATTGCAACCCGCGCTTTGTTTTCTTTTTACAACTTACTAAAATGTTCTTACTTAAATCCCCTGCTCAACTGTGTACACTATATCTGATATAGCATATCTAGTTAATGACATATATTTATCTACGCTACAATAATCTATCAATGTTATAAGGCTAGTTGCGGAGATAAAAATACCTAAAACAGACGATACCGTCGTACTAGTTAATACTGACATGCTGTTGATTTTGTATCTGCCTACGCAACCAGTGACTGAATTGCAAGTAGGTTACAATTGGCGGCTGAATCAACATTGGGGCCATTTCATGCTGGCAGGGATTCGAACACAGAATCTCCGAGTCCTTAAATAAGCACCTTACAGCATATACTGCTAACAAATTCTACTGAACTCCTTCCATAAAACATTATGAAGACCATGACATACCCCCTTCCCAGGTGAGCGAGTCGGTAGGAGTACAGCGGTGACAACAGCCACTATAATCAGCAGGCCAGATATACCCAAGACCATCATAAGCCAGGGAAGTTTACTCTTCATCTGGTCAAACATCTCCATAGCACGATCTGAGATGCAGTACAGAGTATATGAGCATTTAGCCAGGTTTTAAATGCATCGTTGAAAGTACTGAAATGAAATGATGTTCCCATTATAGTCTTGACTACTAGCTACTGACAATACTGACAATATCTACCTACCTATCTATCTATCTATCTGTCTATCTATCTATCTATCTATCTATCTATCTATCTATCTATCTATCTATCTATCTATCTATCTCTATATGTGTGTGTGTGTGTGTGTGTGTGTGTGTGTGTGTGTGTGTGTGTGTGTAATCGTAATTGCAAGAGCCCATTCCATAAGGTAGCTTGCAAGTAGATTACACTTGAGTGCAGCGCCACTTTGTCTTTGTCCTATTTGTTGAATTTAAAAAAAAAGTAGATTACATGTGCATAATACATGTAGGTATGAGAAAAACATTGCAATATAAGAACCTAAATCTACCCTAACAATCATGTCATATGGATTACAGTTTTACCAGCAACTACCAAATTGTTCCGCAAAATTCCTCCTTTGTTGTTGTACCTTATGTGAAGTAGAAAACTAATAAAAAACACTATTTACATTATCATTGATCATATGAATTCTAATTTGTATATACAAAGTATTATCCAAACTGAGTGGAAACTGCTCAGCACGTTTCAATCGAAATAAATAGAAACTGCATTTTTACCATTACCTTGTAAGAGCCAAATGTACAACAAAGGTCGTTCATTCAATCATTCATTTCTTCATTCATTCATTCATTCACTCATTCACTCATTCACTCATTCACTCATTCACTCATTCACTCATTCACTCATTCACTCATTCACTCATTCACTCATTCACTCATTCATTCATTCATCCATCAATCCATCCATCCATCCATTCATTCACTCATTGAATCTGAACGTACCTCTAGCTTTAGCGGCAAAGCTACGCCCCTCTCCCTCCTCATACCCGGTAGTTTCCTCAGGTTTGTACTGCTGCTCGGAACCTTCCTTTTGCTCCGGCCACACAATCACATGGTCCCCCATGTCAAGACAGAGGGTCGGGGAGGCAGTGGAGGCAGCGCCGGAACCCTGTCCACTGGCATGCTCTTGACCTTCGTCTTGTGTGTGATCTTCATCCCCGGTAGTTTCCCCAGGTTTGTTCTGCTGCTCGGAACCTTCCTTTTGCTCCGGCCACACAATCACGTGGTCCCCCATGTCAAGACAGAGGGTCGGGGAGGCAGTGGAGGCAGCACCGGAGCCCTGTCCACTGGCATGCTCTTGACCTACATCTTGTGTGTGATCTTCTTTCCCTGTGTCTTCGTTCTTATGGTCTTCTTCCTTCTTTCTGCCTGCTTGTTCCTCTTCCTTTACCTCTTGCGTAGGGTGTCGAGGAGGGAGCTCAGGAGGTGTATCACGTTGAAAGCCGGAACCAAGAATCATGACACTTCCAATGCCATACTCTAGATCCACGTCTACGTACGTATGACCTTCTTCTTCTTGCTTTCCTTCCGCTTGTTTCTGTCCTTTCTCCTTTTGGGCGGGGTTACGAGGAGGAAGGTTAGGGGGCGCTGCGCGGTGAAACCCGGAACCAAGAATGACACTTCCAATGCCATACTCTAGATCCACGTCTACGTACTGATGACTTTCTTCTTCTTCCTTACTGACGGCCTGTTTCTTTTCTTTCGCATCTAGGGTAGGATGGCCAGCAGGTAGCTCAGGCGGTGTAGTACGGTCTTTCGGCGACGACTGCGTGTTGTTTAACGCCATCTGTTAGGAACAGATACTAATTCTTACACATAAAAAAACAAGGTTGACAATCAACATCATCGCCATGGCTACGGTTTCTAGTTTAATGTTTATATAATGTTGTTTATCTATTATTAATTCTTGAAGCTGTATTAGGCTTGCCCTGAGGCGTCGCCAAAACATTACAATCATTTTCTGTCCAAATATTACAGTCATATTGATCCTATAAAAATCACACCTCCAAACGTTTAATTTTCATGGTCTAATTTACTACAGTGTTTGCATGATGGCAGATTGTGTGTTGTATGGTGCACGAAAACAGTTTATTCTTGTTCTTTTTCAATCGGCAAAAAAAGGGTATCGACTATCTTCGAATCTTTTAGCGGCATTAAAAGTTCATTTTCTATATAGCTTCATGTCGGAAAAAGCCAACGTAGTTGTTGTTATTTTTGTCAATGTGAATCATTCATTTTCAAAGTAGACAAACCTGTACTCCAATGACCAAAGTCTTCTGGTATGACATTTCTCCTATTTTGGTCTGGTAGAGATTTGAAATATTGCGATAAACCTTACCAGACTACTTTCAAATCATCACATATGAAAAATGAGCTCAGCCTTAGATCACGGTAGTATGGATTAATTCTGTGTAGTATGCTTATTTTCTTTATAACAGGGTAGGTTTAACAAATATAAGAATCAAAAACATATTGATGCCCTTACTACGACAAAATACGTGGCTAAAATGCATTCACTCGTGAAAACACCCAAAACAATGGCATTGTGTTAACCTGATGCTGAAAAATCAAACAAAGTGCCGCGAAATCTAAACATGATTCAATGTTGGTAAACAAATTGTTGTCCATGTTTTCGCTGTAGTCCAAAACTTCTACGGGTAGATTCTCGTAATTGATAGATCACCAACATGTCTTGTTTGTATTTATCTTGGTTTTACCCACCTTGTAATTATGCATGTATTTTGTCAATGTGTTTTACACTCGTATGTTTTGAGTAGAAGGTGTTATGTAAGCAACTTGTGCTCTTTGCCCAATACTCAATAAATATATGTGAATAAACAAATAAACAAACTGCTATCCAAACTTAGAACCCTGAAGATACACACATACATTTAGAAATAACTCCCAAACAACAGGTGAAACTGGTGAAGTAGATTTACATGGATTTTTCTGAAGTACTTCCCGTTTAACACTGTACGAAGCTGAAATTGTGTCCGTATGTGAGAGTAGTTTTTTGTGTGTGTGTGCGCGTGTGCCTGTATGTGTGCCGCGTGTGTAATGTGTATGTATCCTGTGTGCGTATGCGTGTGTGCGTGCGCGTGTGTGTGTGTACGTGCTCGCACGCACGCGTGTGTATGTGTGTGTACGCGCGCGTGTAGAGTGAAAAGCACTACGACATACCTTTACGTTAGTTTGCCCGCATGTTGACAACTGTAGAGTTCAGCCTCGACTGGTATAAAATGTTGCAAATTGGCTCTGCCAGTACGCTGTATTATTCATTGTAAAGAGCATGTAACCCCATGTAAGGTCAGGGAAATAGCTTGTTTTTAACAATAAACAGACTAATTTCAAGCACGTGAAAACTAAGTACCCATCTACACTACATATTCAAATTTGCAATATGCTACACAAGCTTGCTCGTTTGTATGCTTGTGTACCGGTAGTTATTTGAATAGAGTAGAGTCAACGAGCGAAGGGGAAACGGTGCAACCGAAGACTGACAGGAAGGTCGAATTGGAGGTCAAAATGGCACCCTGCAAGCAAGTGACATCAGAATATGCAAATAATCAGCGAGAAATAAACAAACCTAATGTTTCACAGAGAT